TTACCATTACTAACCAAACAACGTCACTCATACGCCCCGGTAGATCTATATTGCATGGATGTTTTTTAAATAATCATAAACAACATTCAAGTTATTTTTGAAGTAGGAAATTCTTCTGACAAAGTTAAGAAGCAACAAGTTTTCCATCCAACTCATATTTCATACATATCAGCAGCCCATTGTTATTCTGACTTGCTTTACCAGTAATTCGTACCTGTTGCCATTTATTTGCACAAATAAAATATTATTTGCCAAGATTTTCTTTTTACTTCATTTTTATAATCGTTCTTCATTTTTACTGCAAATCCCTCGGTCTACAACCATCTGTTGGCTGTCAGCTTTATAAATGGCTTTAGTCGTTTACTCTTTATTTCTGTGCGATTGTTTTGTATTCGTCGAAAACTTTCTGTTGGCTAATACATGAATGCTTGTAAATATATTTGTGGTTGTGCATCACTTGCTCACTTTCTTTGCCAAAGAAAAACTTTTCACACTGGTAAAAAAATTCGGAGAGAGTGTTGAAACATTCGTTCAATAAATAACAAAAACCATACTTAGTATAAGGTAGGTGAAAAATTTAAAGCATTCTAACAAAAGGTAATAGTTTAAAAATACAAAAAAAGTAATGCAGTAAATTTACTCAGTAATTTTGCATTTCTTGTATACTGTTGACTGCTTTATGTAATATTTTGGTAGTTTTTCTACCTCCATTTCATTCCTAAATTGATTCGCGCTTTTCACGAGAATACTTTTTTAAAACACTTTCTATAAATGTAAGCGCACACTTGTTGACTTTTTCACTTCGAATGGCGCTTTTTTTGTTTATTTTGATTTCCATTAGTACGGTCAATGCTTTTCACTCACTTCATTTGCATAAAGTATTTACTTTTTGCTTTGTAAACAGCTAATGCTAAAAACTGAACCTTTTGATTTGATATAACGCAAAGCTTGGGCTTACTGAGTTATTTGTGGAAGAAAAATCAATATGCCAAAGTATGTAGATAAGAAAGCGATGAATGGCGATGACTTAAAAAAATGGTATTTTAGCAAAATGAATAATAAATCGAAGAAACGTAACATGAAGGCTAGTGATATAATGGTTTTAAACAATTTAACGCCAATGACAAGAGATATATATATAATAACCCATTCTTAGTCATAAATGTAAAGAAAATACAAGTAATTACATAATGGTACTGTACCGAGATACATTCCAAAATCAGTATTCCAATAGCATCAAAATATGGGCACATACTATTTCAGATATTATAAAGAAGCATTTAATTTAATTTTCTACAATTTCCTCAGTTATTCCACAATATTCTTTAACAAAGATATTTTTCCTTGTTTTAAAATGCACGAGTTGTATGGCATCGCTGCCAGCAAAAAAAACAACACAGTCTCCTGTTATATAAAATGCTTACTTGCACTTTTCTAAGTACTCAACACCCCCACATTTTGCATTGCTAGAAATATTTGCTTCGCAGCATTCTAATAAATAGCGTTGAAGTGCATTTTTGACGTTGGCGTTATACGCTCTTGTGCTGCAATGCCTGTGGCATATAGCACTACGATGTGGTATATATATAAATGTGAAAGAATATAGTTGTTCACAAAGTTTTCACCTTCTGTGAGTATATCACCTGAGTATGTTACTATCGTCACATAATTTCTTTTTTCTGGTAGCAGACAAAACATCCATCCAAAGTACAGCAGAAGATGGCAATAACAAAATGAATAAACAAGCAACCAAATATCTGTTTAACTTAGTCTGTGTACAAGAATATATTTATTTGTCGATTAGAAAGCACTTGAGTAATGTAGAAACCTGTTGCGTCTCAAAAAGCAGAGGTCTTGGAGACATTAGAAGAGTAGGAGTTTTGTACATAATATATTTACAAATAAAAACTAAATATCAATTATATACAACGGCGGAGAAAATTACAACGAATATTTAAATGAGATTTATGCATACATATAACTATAAATATCCTGCTTGGCGCTTTTGCCATCCTTGACCGAGTATTAGTTTTAATCATACTTGATATGTTTGTAACACCCAGAAGGAAATGTCGGGGTCTTATAAAATGTGTGTGTAAATTATCAGTGTGACGAGCTGAGCTGATTTAGTCATATCCGTCTGTCCGTCTAACTGTATATATACGTGATAATAGATATTACTTTTTTATTATGTAATTTCTGCTCTTAGAAGCATTCTAATATGAAATACTAAACGCACTTGAAATAATAGCACAAACGTATATTTTAAGTAAGTACTTTAGTAAGATTTATGAAAACCGAATCATTTTTCGGAAAGAGGAGATTGTACTGATTATTTCATCCCAAGAAAGTAATAGACTGACATGTATCAGTTTTTTGTTACACACAGTTGAAGCTTGAAGGTCTACGGAGTGGTTTAAGCATCAATGAAACATTGTAAACCGTTTTGGCTAAAATTTTGTATCCGGGGGGTTTTGGGATCAATTAATTTGAATTTGGGGTCTAATTTAAATTTTCAAAGAATAAGCAAAAAAGTATGTTTTAACCACTTCGTAATCCTTGAAACATCAACTGCGTGTAACAAAAAAGTGAGACGTAGCAGTCTATTACTTTCTTCGGATAAAATGATCAGAACAATCTCCTCTTTCCAAAAAATGCTGTCTTATCGCTTTGGAAAAAATTAAGTTGTAATTTATTGTACTGTGCTGTTATGACACTTGTAAGTATATCTTAAATTGCTTGCATGACTTATGGAACTCTTACAGCTACAGATACACATCAACTTTCTAATCTGTTAATTTAAGTGTGGAACTTTTTCGTTTGTCTCACTTCGATGAAAGTGGTTGAAACGGCTATGTGTATAGTGGTTATGGAAATACTTACGTATATCAATATACGAGGTATGCTCAAAGGAAAAGGTGACTTTTGATTTTTCGCGGCTGTGTATATTCGATGATCGATATTTTGTTTTTGTAATAATCGGACATATGTTTATCATGTGCTTGCGTTAAGAGCCAATTTCAATTAATAGTTTGTTTTTGACAACAAATAAGGTTTGTCACGTTTTTGTGTGCCTTTCGGTTTTTGAACGAAATTGCTAAATTTTGAGCAAAGCAATGTCACATTGGTATCGCTCAGGGGTTATTGAATGACATCAAGAACAGTCCGGGTTTGCTCAAACGGGTCATAACTGGTGACGAAACGTAGGTATATGGTTACATCATCGAAACCAAGGCCCAATTTCCCAATGGAAGCTGCCAGATAAGCCAAGATCGAAAAAGGCACGCCAAGTTCTATCAAATATGAAGGTTTTGCTCACTGTTTTCTTTGATTACAATGGTGTGGTGCTTCATGAGTTCCTGCCAAAAGGTCATACAGTTAATAAGGAATACTACAAAGAAATTATGCAACGTTTGCGTGAAGCAATATGACTCAAACGATCGGAATTGTGGAAACAACAAATCATAGATTCTGCATCACAATAATGAACCAGCTCACATATCAATGCTTATTCGTCAATTTTGGACCAAAAACAAAACCGTAATCATGCCTCAACCACTGCATTTACTAGATTGGGCTCCCTGTGAATTTCTCCTTTTCCCAAACCTGAAGTAACCAATCAAAGGAAAGCGTATTTATATCCGAGAGGGATTATTTTGAAGGGGAAAAAATAGATATTGATGAATAGACAAGTATATTTTTTTTAATTTCAAAATTCATCTTTTCCTTTGAACACACCTCGTACATATTGTGAATCTAAATATATAACTTTGATTGCAAATATATGAGACCTACACGTGTTGGTTGAAAAAGATTAATTTTAGACACACACGCAAGTGCGCATATTCCTCTGGAAGCTATTTCTTTTGCAATTAGGAAAGTTTTTCTCTCAATCGTTCTTCGCACTACTCATATGTGTCCTCTGGCATTTTTGTATCGTTATTCGTATCTGACAACGAGACAAATACCCGCAGATATTGTGATGTAGCAAAATTTCTTGTTACACTTTTACATATTGTCTTTTCTTTACAATTTATACACCTTGGTAGGTTAATATTTATTGGCACGCACAAGTGTGATCATAATATAAAAGTTATTGTTGTGGAAAAGGGAATTTAACAGCATAAAAATATAAAAAACATACATAGTAAGTTAAATCATAGCATGATAAAGTAGTAATTATTGAGTAGCCTGAAGAATTTAGAGTAAGATTTACCCTTGTCAACTTGGTTATTATCTTGTTGGAGCTGGGAACGTAGTCTGTCTAACAATACTTAGGTATAACAACTTTGAAAGGAGCACTGAATATGGTTTTGAACATTGAGCCGTTTTCTTTGTATTTATCTTTTGTTCTTGGTCACTTTTAAAGTATCATTTTTATAAAACAAAAGTATATTAAATACATTAAGGACATTATTTTTATTCATTAGGCATACTAGAATATTATATAGAACTCAAAGTTCTTATTCGTTATCTTCACCAAGCTCGACCATAAACTTTATAATTTCAGCCTAGTTTTCTATACCACTGTAATTCCTTCAGTCATATAAATATAAATATCACTGTTATTCATACATACTGACATATGTTAGAAAGTAGTGCCTATGCTACACTGGTTATATTGGAAGAGGTTAATTTTCCTCTAACGTACCCTTTATGCTGGGACCGGCGAAATAAAATTAATTTCTTGCTTTGGGTCCGTAATATTGACTAATTAGTAGGATATTTGAAAATATTGAAAACCAAGCGGTAGTTAATGATATGAATCGATAGTTTAACTGCCGCTATAAACTGATGTTTATGAAAGTTGGATTAAAAGAGTAACAAGTATAAAAAGATTTTCTTTGAATTATTAAACGTTTTTTTCATGAGTTATAAACGAACTTTGCTACCTCAAGTACTTCGGGTCATACATATTACTTTAGTGAAAGTATTTTCAAAGAAAAAAAATTCTTATATTTATTCCATAAATCGAATATGATATAAAATATTTTCTCTCACCTTCTTTTAGCTGTAAATAGTTACTCAAGCAGGGAATTAACACTTGGATTCCTGAAAGAAGAAAACAGAAAAACGTGAGACAAATCGATTATAGAAAATAAAATAATTGTTGGAACTTTAAATGAGTGAGAAAAGTTTATAAGAGCATGACAGCTGTATGTACACCCAGCAGCTGGAAATGCATACCATAAGTACATGCATACACACTTGCATATTAAAAAATAGATGTACATATGTTTTTACAAACCAATTCGTATTAATAGTAAAAATATAAGTCTCAATAATCATACATAACACTACTTAAACAGGAGAAGAATTATTCATAAATTAGTGACAGGACATTTACATTTTCGTATTTCAAGTTATATCAACTATTTCTAAAGTATAAAAAAGATCGAGTAATCGGTTTAGATAAGGAATAAACAGAATCACTGAAATTCCCACATTTGAAGGCATTTAAGTCAAATTTAAAATTAATTTTCAAATAAGCCATCAAAAATTGTTTCTGTATTGAACTGAGCATACTCACTGACTTTCGTTTTATTAACTGTCTACAGAATTCAATAACTTTAACACACTTAACTCACTTGTCAGCGGTGTAGTTTTAAAACAGCAGACACATGCAAACAGCAGACAAAGCAATGACACATCAGCGAATTTGCTAAAAGTACCGTTATTTTTTTTTGTATAAGGTGCGACACATTACTAAATTAGCCATCCCTAGTCAAGTCACAAGAGAAAATTTGGAAAAAAATATTTTTCTCCTTTCATTTACCAAGTATTGAATATAATCCTAAAAAATTATTAGAAGCTGTCAAAAAAAATTCGTGAGTAATGTCTGGGTTAATTTAGTCGAAGCATACTTGATATTATAGTTTGCAGAGTTTTGAGTCTAAAACCAAAACGCACACTACCTAAATTGCATTTGGTCATATTTAACTTTCTGAGTCTTTTAATAACACTCAGAAAAACAACAAATCTTTCGGAAACTCTTAAGGGTACGTAAGTGGTAATTAGCGCACTAGAAATAAGTTTAAAAGAGCTTTTAAGTACTCGTTAATTGAGGGGATTGTTACAAAAATTTATAACAGTAAAATATCATTTGAATTAATTGATTTGCAGAAAATTTATATTTTTGTTTGATTTGTTTTAAGATTTTAGATTTGAGAAATATATACATACGTAGTAGTTGCTAACTCTACACAACAAAATTTTAGACACTTTTTTTTAAAAATCTTCACTATATATGTTATAAGAGAACCAGTATTCGCTTCAACTACTTCACACCTACATATGTTTTAAGCGACACACAGCAAATATTCTCGTTTCCACGGATCCGAGCACATAATAATAGACACTAAAACAGTCAACTGAACTGATAGCATACCTGATGAGTGCCCAAAAACTTATTATATTTTGAACGGAAACATATAAAAAAAACTTATTTAGGTAGCTGTTGGTAGTTTTTTAATAAGTCTACCACATCACACCACCAAACCACAGAGACAGCGAGGTGACAAAGTCTGTTGAATGATGGGCGGTACCACGGTTTTTACGCTTTATGTTCATTTTAGAGCCAATATTTATACCACCATTTTGCTCAAGCTTTTCAGCGAAATTATTTACAAAAATAAATTTCAATCCATTCATTTAAATACAGGTATGTAAGATTATCCCCAAATTATAATATAAATAAATACGCATATTATCCTTATTTTTCGTTTTACATACACACTTGCTCAAATTTTCGCTGTTTTATTTTTTACAGATTATTTTTTACATTTAGATTTTATTTGCACTCATTTTTACACATCACGCACTTATTGGTATTCTACTGTTAAAACATTGTCACTTTAACTTCACTTATGGTAAATAAAATTTGATATTTCTTACAACACTATTTTTCTACATTCTTATTCACTTAAATTATTTGAACACATTTAATTATTGCAATATATTTTACTTAAGTACTCGCGATTTACAATTTATTTTTCACTTAACTTCACTTTTCAATAGTTTTTCGATTTAATAACAAATTTTCTACTACACCAACGCATGCAATAAATTTTCGGTGGACTAAAATAGTTGTTTACCTTCAATTGACGCGAATAGGGGCAGCATTTGCTGTTTACAAATTCATGCTATTGCATGCAAAACAAGGCAATGTTAATTCTAGCACGCTGAGATGAGCAGCGAAAATGTTAACATAAACAAAAGTGAACTCGTTCTGGCAGAGAATGTTAATAATACATTCTCCGATTTTGGTTCTTATTTATTAATAATTTTCTCACACTCCACCGAATGCACTGCTCTGTCACTCAGCTCCACTTCTTCTTACATATGTATGTTACATGATATATATGTATGTATGTATATATGTTTGTTTTTTTGCATGCTGAAGTGACAAAGTGACAATATTGACGATATTAATATTTTTAATATCAATTAATGCTCTCGCACCAATTACAAATGTGTTAAAATGATTAGTATGTCTGGTAGTATACTAAAAATTAAGAATTTATTATACTTATCTAGTTCAAGTCATATGTATATTTGTTCAAATCTAAATACTTTCCTTTTGCTATTTTTAATAATTATTTGAAAACAAAAATAAATAGAGAAGCAATATATATATAAATATTCTTTAGGACAATTTCCATATTTTCAATTTCAATAAAATCAAATGAATTAGTATATTGAAAGAAATGAGATGTTATTTGTTTGTAATTTTTAATTTAGTAGATTTGGTAAGATAAACGATTTTGGGAGATATAGAGTGAAATAAAGATAATATAGATAAATCAAGTTAATTAGGTTAAAAAAAAAGATTGGTGGATTTATTAGACAAGAGTTATCATATAAATTGAAAAAATAAATTAAGTAATGATTTGAATTGAAGGTACTTAAGAAATCTTTGATGTGAAAGAACGTTTTACAAACCTTACAAACTTTATAAAGAATATTTGTTTTGGTAATTAACACCAGATAACAGGAATTTATTTCCCATAAAATTCTTCTAACTATAACATTTAATTTGTGTTTTTAAAAATGTCGAAAAAACAAATAAAAAGATGAAAGAAGATGCATCAAAATTGAAGAAAAACGCTGAAGAAAGGATTTTCTTTTAAGAGGGCTAAGTAGCAGTTAATTCTTTTGAGGTGCTTTTTGGGGTCCGATTTCAACCCTTTTAAACAGGGAGGATGGATGGATACAGACATTCAAAAGGTCCCACCACCAACACTAGCAAAAAATTTTTATACAAGAAATGTTTCAGCCTCAGCTCCTTAAAAGGGTTTGAAGGAATTCTGGCACGCAAATCTATGTAATGTATGTATGTGGATAATTAAATAGAAAATGTGATGTTAGGAAAATGTGGGAAATGAGTTTAGCTAATTGGAGAAAGTTATTGTGGCTGAATATGGCAAAACGCGACAATTGGAGCGCTTTTTCATTTAAATGGCAACATCATGCATGTCAGCATAAAATTGCACAATACAAACGCCAGAAAATATCTACAGCTGCAATTTTGCTTGCATCGCTTGTATGTGAGTATATATGTATGTATGTTAGTATACTGGTACTCAGCTAATTAGACGAGTTGGTGATAATACTGAAAACAACAATTGCAGTTGTAGGGCAATAAAGCAGAATAATTTAGTGCACTTGGCTCTGTGTCAAATTAATTTCCGCACACCAAATGCATGTAGCAGCACAGTTTTATTAACATAAGTATGTATGTGTGCTTGTTAAAACTTTTGATTGGACTAGAATAGATTTGGTTTAATAGAATAAATTCTAAAAATTAAATAATTAAAGCTAATTAATTTTATGAAAAATACACAAAATATTTGCAGCGTAAATACGAGTTCTTCATGTTACTAGAAAAATCGAGGAGACTTTAAATATTTATGTATTTTTGAATTAAAAAATTCACATCTCTGTATACTATACATACAATACAATATATTAGATATGAAAGCCCGGTGGCAGCAATATGTCCTCGACCCCACCTCGATTGGGCCTTGTATAAGGCAGGACTCGAGATCTACAAGTCCAAAAACCTTCTCGATCCTTCTGATTGAACGTGACCTTACACAAGCGATCAACTCATTCAAACCATTCAAGACCCCTGGACCGGAGGGTATTATACAAGCGCACCTGCAGCAAGATGTAACGCTTTCGTGTGACTGGCTGGTATCAACTGGGCTGCAATTAATAAAATAATTGAATAAAAATTTGAACTATTATCCCACATTTGGGATTATAAAAAAAAATTTACTACTACTACCGGATTTAAAATTATAATTACTTACTGGATTAAAAACAAAACAAAACTCATTTTATACCAAAAATTAAAATCAATTTTTAATTTCAACTACCGGATTGTAAAGTAAAGAAATTTTAATCTCAAGCATATAATTAAGAATTAAAAATGACTCTGTTTTAGAATCAACATTGTTCGCGTTCATTCAAATCAAAAAATAATATTTTAAATTTTAAATTTCTGATTGATCTGCACTTAAGGGGTTGTATTCCAATACATCAGTTTTCACGGGTACAGCATGCCTATTGAAAAGGTAAGTCAGTTAACCCTGCGTTTCATACTCTTGCCTCCTGGTTCGAGAGGACCATAAGAAGCAAGAAATTTTGCAGTAGGGTCTTTCCTCGATATCGATAGAAATTATGTAACGGCAATGTTGCAGAAAACAACTGTTTCCTTCATTTCACTTATTACGAGCGTGTGTGTATCAATGTATATATTATATGTACATATATTCTACAGGAATAAGGCATTCTCATTATTTTGCGACTCTCTCACATGTCATCAAGGATTTTCAGTTTTGCAATCATGCTCAAAATAACATTCGATAATTACACTAATGACAGGCGTCAAATTATGATTTTCTGATATAACAATAATGACATTGCTTTCACTTGAATTTATATGTAAATAAATATATAAAGCATACATAATACTCCACAAAGCCATTTAACAATCAATCTACCAATTGAGACGTCCTGCGTAAATTAGTGCGAAATCATGCAGGATG